AGGTAGCCTGTGATGTTAGCTATCGTACGATACCTCGACATCAATGATATTCGTCCTAATAGTCAAGAACGAGCTGTTTGAGCGGAGGGTGGCTTAAGTGTCTCTTTTACTCTAGACAAGTCTAACGAGGAAAAAAGGAGGTACTTGTAATGGAAAAAAGATGCTATAGTCTAGACTTTCCTGTGACAAGTTTGGAGTACAGGCAAAAGGCCGGAGGCCCTCGATGTACATCAGGCATCAGGCATGGGCGCACCACCAACAAGGAGCCGAGTCAAAATTGAACAGGTGAGGAACACACTGACTGGCCATCAGCATCTGGCTTTGATTGCTCCTCGCGTTCTGTGCAAGGGAGAGAGTTTGGATTTTCCGTATCAACAAGCAAATTCGTTCCGCCTTCAGACCCTACCGTATCAGAGAGAAAACACCGGCAACCAGGGTAATGAAACAGGTGTGCACAGCCCCGCGAGTGGGTTCGCCTGTAGCTACGGAGGGACTTTTAGACTACTACAAGAAATAACTTTTTTCCGTCTCAGCTAGCTCTTGCTTTGGGGTCCATTTTCGTGATTCCAACATTCAAATATTGAAACCTGCTGTCTATAGACTATTAAACATAATATGCAGGACTGCTGTAGTGGTCCCGGTATAATGCCGGTTGAATATGCCGGTTAAATCTGGCACAGATGGAATACAGTGTTCAAGTAGTTTCAAAGTCTCTGAATAATGCCGGTTGCCCGCTATTATGCCGGTGAAATTGGCTGGATCGCACCGGCATTATTCCGGGAGAACTACAGAGTACTACTGTACTGCTGTGTTAAAAAAAAAACAGAAGATAGTTGGGCATTGGACTCCCCCTGCACGAATTAGAAAGGCCGGCAGTGATGCTTTTTTTGTTTTGAAGTACAACAGCAGTGGTTCCAGATATATCGCGGTCCCAAATTGCGCGGTTCCCGATATATCGCGGTAAAAAACCATTGGCACAACAACAACAGCTCACGAGAGTACACTAAATACTCTGTAAGTTTGTAACGGGGGCCTTCCCCCAATCAATAAAGCATTTGTTGGATTTCAGCTTTTACAAAAGGACATCAACGCAGTAGCAATTTAGCAAGCTTACGAACGCATGTAGGATACCATGAGGATTGTCATTGGTTTTATTTCAAATTGAAGAGGAGATATTTTTACGATGTAAGCGACAGTAGAAATAAGTCCTACATATATATTTGTTGTTGTCCTTCGTATTGGTTTACTATTCATGTAGAGTATGAGACATTAAGTGAAAGTTTTCTGAGGTACATCTGCAATTGCCGGAAGGCAAAAAACATATATATATAGTCTATATAGCAGTACCGCTGGTCCCGACACATACTGTATATATATATGTCGCGGTTATTTTGACCGTCGTACCATGTGCAACTTTCGTTTATCGCAAAGCACCTGACCTCCCCGTCGGCATTCCCTTTTGCTGCCCGCAGGTATGGGTATGACAGGTACCCAGGAGCCCGAGAGTCAGGCGACGCCCGCCGCGCTTTTGTCAGCGGCGGCAGATCTTCTGTCAGCGGCAGCGCTGGCGGTGGCAGTGGTACCAGAGAGACTGGTGGGGCCGTTACCACTGTAAGATTCAAGATCCAATTCGTCAACAAACCGGTAGACCAAGGAACGGTACGAAACCGCTGTTCTCGGTGTAACCGCGCGATCCAGTATGGACCCACGGTGGTAGTATTCGTGCACTTCGGGTATCCTTGGCACGTCCTCGGTTCACAACCCTCCCCACCGTCCCATCCCTCGCACACCAATCTTTTATGTTTGACACAACCAATTCAGAAATTGTAAACCTGTCGTACCGCTCTCCTTCATTGAACACATCCAATTCAGAATCCAATATCGGAGCGGTCCTGAGGGAAACGCCTCGGCCTCTCGGCCCTCCTGAGAGGCGAGATCTTCAAGAACCTCGGCGATTTTTCCGGTTGGGCTAGGCGTCGGGATAGTGCACAGATGATGTTTGGACCTTCGCCAAGCACCTTTGCGAAGGTTCTCCGAACATCCATTGTGCGGCTCTTCAAATGCGTGGCCCCACAAGGGACATCTTCGGCAGTTCGCAAAAAAGCTGAAATCGTCAATTGACCGAGGTCCTTGGAGACCCCACCTCTCAGGACGGCCTAGAGACCGAGGCCAATATCCAAGCGCTTAGACGGGGGCTGCACGGCGAGGTGGCCGAGATGCATTCGTTGGCGGGATTGCGAACTTGGCCTCGGTGGCTTGCGACTCCCCGCTTGGCAAAACTCGACCGCCTGGACGGTTGACCACCACGTTTTGGCCCCGCCACCCCGCCACGGTAGAGGGTCCTCCGTTTGTCGGCCTCCAAAGGCACGTGGTTCGTCTTGAAAATGTTTGCAGCCGGCACATAGCATCCGTCAGAGCGTGCCACCGCACACCGCCCTCTTCACGAACGCCTTGAGGGAGGCAGTGACCGGTGGGGCGTGGACGCGCTGACCGACGCCCCATGCTTTTAACATCTCAAGATGGACCACGAGCCTTTCGAGGCCGAGAAAGGAGCTCTCCTACAGCCGTCGTGCGTGGAGGGAAAGACGGCACACAAGAGTTGCTACCGCCTCGGCTAGGGAAGCTTCACGGACCAGAACCACAATGACGGAGGTGAATGGAGACGTTTTTCTGTTTGTTTTCGCTTTTTTGGTTGCTGTCGTTGGTCCATGACGTCATTATGTTTGTCGTTGTTATTTGTTGCTGCTCTTGCTGCTGACGCTGGTGCCGATGCTGTTGTTGCTGCGGGTGTTGCTGCGCTCCTCATCAGGCAGCGCGAGTTACACGGTGGAGGAAAGAGGCCAGAAATTGTCTACGAACGAGGCGAAGGGTGTCGACGGTGAGGGTTTTGCCCACTGTTTCCGGGGGATTGTAGTCGGTGTTGCTGTTGATGCTGCTGTTGCTGTTCTGCTAGCTGTCGAACAACGAGCGCCCTTTACGCCCCTCGAATGCGATCGTTAGGGGCGTCTGGCGACTGAATTAAAGTGTTTTCTCCTAGACTAGTCGAACGTTAGACCCTGTGGCCGCGTAATGCCGTATTTAGTTGTAAGTTGTTCGTGGAGGTGGTGCTGCTGCTTGTGTCGTCGTGCCTTGACGCGCGTCTGGGAGTGAAAAAGTGTTTTGTGGACTGCATCTCATCGAATTCTTCGTATTGAAAACACCCGCCCCGGCAATCCGCACCCCGCCAAACCGGCCGTCTGTTCGCTTCTCGCTGATCGTTGCGTCGGTGTTCAAAAACTGCAAGAGAGAGGCTCCAAGAAGGGTCTTCTCACCATGCCCGGTGCCGGTATCCGCAGGGCTGCCATTCTCAAGCATGTGCTCAGTCCGTATCCCCGGGATTGTCCAGTCGTGTACCTCAAGTGCCGAAATACAGCTGCCGCAAGGTACGCTCGAGAAAAAACGGTATTTCTTTCAGCCCAAAGACAGAGGAGTGGGAGGCGATGCGACCCGTGTGTCAACTCAGGGACCTAACTGTCGGGTCGGAGATGGTCAGATGCCCGGACACTGAGAGGACAGGGTACACCGACGAGGCCATGAACAGCCGTTGCCTGGTTGAACAAAAAACAAAACAAAACACGCACGGCCCACGATCGACCACGCCATTTCGCCACCTGCCACTACTAGTACCCGAATGAAAGCGCATCGTTTTCAACTCGCAAGACGCAAACCGATCCACAACAGATCAAACTGAGGATCTCTCATCTACACCAGTCGATCCAAATGGTCCGTCAGCCTGTGACTTTCTTACGCAACGCATGGCCCTCTTCTGCACACAGGGTCGGTCCCCCCTGCAATACGTCTGAGCGTTGTTGTAGTACACGAAGGATTCGGTCTCGGAGCCGCTACTCGTGCCGCCTCTCGTTCTCCAGCTATTCGCTGTAGGCTTTCTGGCCATCCTGCACTAGTAACGAAGCCCGCTTGTTTCCTCTAAGCTAGCTTTACCGGCAACAACCCATTGCAAGGAGGAACCTGTATGGTGTAGAGAGCCAAAGGCCGCGGAGATCATTTGCAGCCTGTGTAGACGAGGGATCCCTAAGTTTCGTCTGTTATGGATCGGTTTGCGTCCTGCGAGTTGAAAACGACGCATGGGTGACTTTCGATTGGGGTGTTAGTGGTGGCAGGTGGTGACACAGCCGCGGCCGACCGTACCATTGCTTTTTGGAAGGGAGGCAACGGGTTTTCTCATTTTCCACGCGAAGCGTCTGGATTGCGACTGACTGTTGTTGCTCTCGACAATTAATATGCAATGAATATGCGAAAGAGCATTTCCCTGTGCAAGACAGGTAGGGGATCGAGCGTGTGAGGATTTCCGGTGCCGACAATTTCGCGGTGAGTAAGATTGATGATGGTCCTGCAGCCTTCCTTACGTTGCCTTCGTTTGGATTTGTGATTGGCATACGGCTCACAGGCAATCACGCGTGGTTCGATAAACCATCGGATGACACACGCCGTTCAAGCGAAGTTCGACAATCGATGGCAGATGCTTTTGATTAAGCAATTTGAGGTTGGATCATCGACGGCACGTACATGTTGTCGGCGACTGACTGACGTCATCAGCGTCCAATCAATATTTAATTTTGGGATTTCCCGCAAGATCAACGTGATCGTCCTGGAGGACATGAACGGTCGACCACGGATTTTCGGCAGGTCAGAAAACTGCAGGCACCTGCACTTATCCGGAGTTCGACCTTTCTGTCTGTCTGTCTGTCTGTCTGTGTGCCTGTCTGTGTGCCTGTCTGGATGTTTTGTCTGTTCGCTGTTGTTGTGATTGGCCAAACGAAGAAACGATATCATCGACGTTGCACCCGACGGCATTCAATCCCTTCGTTGTAAACCCCTGAGGGAGATAACTCTGCGTCAACTCTTAGTCAAGCTTGTCAGAGCCACTACTCGCTATACCGTGTTCAGTGGCCAAAATATCGCACCCCAATCCAATCGACTACATAGAGAGGGATTGCCTTGCTCGCTGCCCTCCCAGCCCAGACCAAAAAACATCGATTTCGAGGGTGAACCAAGGACAAGGAACCTCCATCACATAACTTCACGTATGCTGTGACTCTTGGAAGGAGTTTGCATGTTCCACACAAATAGGTCGTACAAATAGTCATTGTAGTGCAGCCGTAGACCCCCCCTTATTTCATTCACTCTCTCACCTCCGAACCCACGTGTCCACCCGTAAAACGATCACGGCTGGATTCTAGTCTGTCCGCCACTTTCATGCACTTCCAATCGATGCCCTAGTGACTGCACCTGAATCGAGATAGACCAGTCACCTACTACTGTTGCACCAATAATAAAAACTTGACAAGCAGCGAGAGCATACAATTTGACCACGGAACGCCAAAACCCGTAGCTCGAAATATTCATACGTATACATAGCTCATTCACTTGCGCCTCCCGCCACCCCACCTGTCCGTTCATTCAATTCCTACCCTGGACCTCTGCTCCCCCCGCATCATTTACTTCGCAATTTCGTGCCTTTCGTGCGGATGTGCAACCAACAACATTTACCGCACCCTCCTGGTAGTTTGAAACCATGTGGAGGGGGATTGGTACTAACGTAATATTGTTCTTTGTGCGATTGAGTAGCCCGACCGTGCGGACTGGTACCTTTTCGCAACTCGGCTCCTCTGGTGCCGCCGTCCAGCAAAACCTATCCGTCAATGTCGAGGGGATGCTCACCCAACCGTATTGGCGAAGTAAACCACACGTAAGCAACACCACAACAAAACGAAATAAATAAATAAACAAATAAAAAAGTACTTGGCAGTCCGAACGGCGCATGCTCGCCTGTATGCATGCAGGCAAACGCGAACGAACGCACAACAAGCAACCTTGACCGAAGGAACCACAACGTTACCTTACCACACACCACCCGGACGAAAAACAAAAAACACGCTCGTTACGTTCTGCTCCAAACGAATACCACCTCCCCCACCTGCCATACGGATCAAACAAGACTCGCACCCTACCTTCGCTCACGTACGTGGATGACTCAGGACTCGGCGTTCTAGGGAGGCTTGGTCATGCCTGGGCGACTCGTGTCCACCGATGCCACAGCGACTCATTCGACGAACGGGGGGAAACGTACCCCGCCAACCAGCTCTTCTAGCCAACCGGAACCCAGAACAGAAAAGAACACATAGAAAACCAAACAAACACAGCAGCAGACTCGCACACCAAGAACACAAGTAAGAACGAAACCACAACTAACGACGAAAAGTACAGTGTGGTCCTGCCACCATTTGTATCGTGGGGCGGTGGTAGAGGAAAGGGTGCTGCTGCAGAGACGAACAGGCAATTGTGTATGACAAAACTTCGTTTCAGTGGGCCCTTCGATTCGCACACATCTCGGATTCTCGATGCTACAGCAGTGTCGAAACCCAAACCTACCCCCCCCGCCCCGCCGGGATGCGTTTGCTGCGCTCGTCCCCAACATCATTCGCGGTGCATGAATAGGCACATCAACATCCGGAAATACCCATAAAAATTGTGGAATGTGCTTATCCAGGCTTGGGGTCAACAATGAGAGCAAATGGTTTGATCTTAGACACTCCTCACGCAGTGGCTCCCTCTCCTTCCCCCCTCACCCTCGCATCACCCTCTAGCAGCTAAGCACCAACCAGGCCACAGGCCCTGAACGTCCATTTAATGAACAGTGTTTGTGTCCAATACTCATAAAACCAATAGCAAGACTGCAGCAAACAAACATGGTCGACGTAAAGGCAGCTTTGTGTTTGAGACAGGTAGTCGGATTCGAGCTCGCACTCACACACGTGCACTTGCCTACCCAGATTATCACAACTGCTACATGGGTGGAATACGTACTCCTTGCGGAGGGGAATGTCCCCCGTTAGTACCAAATGCGAGAACTGTCGAAAGATCGGCAAACTCACGATGTTTGCAAAATATAAACTTGTATAGCAATATTTATCGTTGAGCTTCAAAGACCTTATCTTGCGGTGGTTACAAGGACGATCACCGTGGTGCTGACCCAAAGAGCCGTGATTTGAGGTGCTTCTAACAAAAACAACAAAACATTATCAATACTGACAATGCCGCTGTAGAGCGGAGTCGAGTAGCATAGGCCTAAATTCAAGGCCAAGCCAGTGTGCACAGAGACACGCCCTCCAACAGTGCTTTGACTAAAAACTCACTAAATGTTTGAAAATACATTCCGACGCCATGGGTACCTTCAGTATCCGCCGACCCGGTTGTCAAGTGAAAGTAAAAAATTCCTAAATGTTTGAAAACACATTCCGATCTGATCGGTACCTACAATACATCATCCGCCAACGACCCGGTGGTCAAGTGGACTTCGAAGTTACTCGATCAGATCCAACCTCATGAGAGCGAACTACCAAAGCCACATCGAGCGGTGAAGCTCAAGCCCAAGGTCGAGCCAAAAACAAAGGTGGGTGGAGGACGACACGCTCCTAACGGCCAGCTTGCGTCAGACCCAACCGACCGTTTTCTCTGATTTCATCCACCTCTTTGCTTCCGACCTCGACCTTTACTTTGAGCTTTTTTCGTCCACGGTGTATTTGGGGGCGGTCCCGGCCGGCCTTCCGCCCGTCCCATAGGCGTCATTTCCCTGGTGAAAGTGTGGCCGAGTGTTGGGCGAACGGGGGGGCGAGCGTACCAATGTTTTTCATGCCTAAGGCGTTCAACCATTGACCGGGGGGGGGCGGGTTAGCGGCCTGTCAATACGCCGGCCGTAACCATTTCGTTGTTTTTCTTGAGGTATGACCTGACCCGTTCGTCGGACACACGACAGCATCAAGTGAAGATGTGTCGGATACCTACTCCCGTGCGAAAATGTATCCAACCCCCCTCCGCATCCTCCATGTCCTGCTGCTTCCTGACGGATGGGTTGTGGTCCGAAACAATCTTGGCAAGGAAGATTGGAAAATTGGCCGCTGGAGTGATTGAAACGCTTGTGGCCGTTTCTGCTCATCGTTTCGGGGGGGGGGAAGCGGGTACGCCGTCTGTGTTAACAACATCATCAGGGTCTACAACGCTTTGCTCCTGACACTCACGGTTTCCTGCGGATCCACCGCCTTATCCGCTTCACCAGCGAAAAAAAAGGACGAAGAGGATGATGTCGGCGGTGCCCCCACGGTGGTTGCCGTCTTGGCGGCGGATTCTGCCGTGGCGATGCCGATCCTGTTTTCGTCGCTACCGCCTTCCGAGCGGCCGACACCGCGGCCGCCGGCGTTGGGCTCGCCCCGGGTACGGATGCGGCTCCATTCAGGACTAGCGTCGGCGGCGGCGATGTCGACAGCGTTGACGTTCATGGCGACGGCGCCAGCGGCAGCGGCGGCGGCGCTTGCGGATGTCCCCGGCAGAGAAGAAGACGTGGGCGGGGGGAACGACGGCGGGCCGCTCGGGAAAGGCTGCCCGCCGCCAGGGGCGTTGATGTTGCTGATGTTGAAGATCGGCTGGCCTTGGCTTTGGTCTGCTTCATGGAGGTATTGCGGCTGTTGCTGCTCTTGTTGTTGCAGCACGGCCCCGCCGTAAGGAGCTGGTCCTCGGTGCCCATGGTCGTGGCCGTCCCCGTTATTGTTGTCGCTGTGCAAAGACTGGGCTGCACCCGGCGTCCCCGCTGGGGCCGGTGGTCCAGCTTGCGGCATTCCGAGGAAACGCTGCTGGATGTCTTTCCCACTGCTGCTGGCAGAACGGTTGGCCCTGTTGCTGCTGTTGGAATTGTGCTGCTGCGGGGCAGCCCCGCCGCTGGCTGGCCCGAAAATGGCCCCAGCAGGGGCGGGCGGGGCCAACGGGGACGGCGACATTCCTCTGGAGCCGGTCCCGGACAGACCGGCACCGCAAGACGGAGAAGGGCCTACCGCCGCTGCGAACATCGGATACGGGTGCTGCTGCTGCATCGGTGTGCGAGGGCTGGCCGCGAAACCCGGAGTGGGAGGAAGATTGGCGGAGAAGCCGCATGAATTGTTCGGGGGTTGCCCGTGCGCGGCGTAATGTGCTGCAGTCGCGGGGGTGTAGGATAGCCGAGAAGATCGCGACCTTGCCGACATCGAATGTGAACATGGCGCGCGCGGGGGGGGGGGG